TTATTACTATGATATATATATACTGTATATGATAACATTAAGTTTATATTACAAGCTAAAATACTTTAAGGTTTTTGTTGTTTTTTTTTTTGTTTTTTTTTGTCTCATATGAAGAACTAAATGAAATTGCCTTAGCATGGGAAAAACACAGGATACGCCGAGTGCACAACTCCTGAAGTCCTCATGGCTGCCCATCCATCATACACAGTGCCTCACCTGTATGGAGCACGGGACTATCTGCACCATGAAACCTGCTTGGAAAACTGTGTGTTTAAAGAGTTTCCACGTGATGATGAAGATGTCTTTAATATTTGTGTAGACCTTATTTCAGAGCACAATCTGGAGGTAACAGATGAGCTGTTTGAAACTGTTGATTTATACATAAATCTTCGACAACTTATCAACAATGAAATGGAGCCTTAAAAATAAGCTCTCACAGCTTGTGTTGGCCTTTTTTCCCCAAAGGGACTGACTTAGTTGCAACAAAGAGCCAATATGAACATGAGACAAATCAGTTCACAAGCAATATGTACATTTTCAAACAAGAATTTGTGCACAGCTGATGAACATTCTTTGTACAAATGGTGGTAACATTTTAATCTATAACTTAGCATTTGTTTTATAGCTTCAGTTAGAGTATCAGGTTGAGATTTAAGTAAGAATAAAAATGCTTTAGTAATTTTAGTATTTGTCATGTAACATACAAGTCTAGAGTGATTCAAAATAACACAGAGATGTATTGAACATGTAATTTATTGTCCTTCAAAATAAAGCTTTAATGCATAATTTTATGAATATTAAAGAAAGGTTATTCTTAAAACAGTACAAAACAAAAAAATGTCTAAATGCATAAACAATATGAAACATAAATTATGGAAGGACAAAACAAGATGTTAAATGAAAACCATGAAAATGTACATTTTCAGTCAACCAGGACATAATAAATAAATTTAAAAAAACTAAAACAAAACTTTTTTTTACTTTTACTGAATCTAACTGAAAACCACATAATTTAAAAGTACCATTATAAAAGGCAGCAATCTGTGATAAAATGTAAACATTTGCAGAAACAACACTATAAAAAAGTGCTAAATGCAAAGAGAACAAGATTACAAAAGATAATACATTTTCACATCAATTTAAAAGTCATACAAAACATGCTAATTACAAGAACTGATCAAACACATTGGGCCTCATGCAAGAACCGTTCGTATGCATGGCTTCTGAATGAATGAAAATGATTTACCACAGTTGTTTATACTTTTAGCAGCTCTTTTTATTCCACAGCTGACCTGCTAAAAATGACGGATTTCCTTTTCTGGATCTCTGACAGACGGACTTCAATCTCTGAACGCATAAAATTCTTTTACGTTTTCGCTGTAATTTTCATGAATGAATGAACACTTCCTTGTATCTGAGGCAGGAAACACAGCCTTATATGGTGTTTTTGGGGTGGTAATTATGCTAATCTCCTCTCGCGTGCACGAGCAGCTGGATAGAACAGGTGTAATTTACGCAGCTCATTTACGCACTTTTCCTGAAGATAGAAGAAATCTGACGTGACATGTTCGTATGAACCCTTCGTACGAACAAAAGTAAGAGAAATTTAGGATAAGAATACGAACATGTTCTTGCATGAGGCCCAATGTCTTTTTTTATGGTCAAAATTTTATCAAATACCCATCTTCCTTTGTTGATTTTCTTAAAGCAATACCAAACAATCATTATGATCATTTTGTCTACATGCTGTTATTCTGAGGAAAAAGAGTCTTAAGTTAGCTACAGTATATTTGGCATGTTGAAAAGTGTCATATTGCCAATTGGAATGGAGTGTAATCAAATTGAAAACTAATAATCAGTGATGAAATCCTTGTTTTCCCTGCTGACACATATGGCAATTCATGACTTAAAACATACAAAACAAATCGTGACCCATCAGTCATTGCCGACTGCTTTATGATAGTGAATAAAACTGTGGGTTGCTTTGAGAGCTTAGATTTAACGACTGAAAATGAATGCGGCTGACATGCACAGATTTTTGCACAATTCAAAAAAATCTACCAGAACCAAATAATGTAAGATATGGACCAAAAACTAAAAATCAGTTAAATTAAAGATAATGGCTGATTCTGTTGTTGGTTTAGACAGAAAACATTTAAAAAAATCTTTTTCTGTAAACCTACAACTCCAAAGTTATGACGTGGAAAGACAAGTCTGTTACACTATGTCCATTAAACTGATTTCTAACACTCGGTTCACTTCATACCTGAAGTCTGGGTAGTTTTCATAATTAACTGGCAATTCCAGGTAGCAACCGCAGGTGTGAGCAACTGGACGTCTCTGAAAACCTAGCATCTGTGTGAAGCTGACACTGACGCTTTTCCCCAGAAACAAATCAGATCCTGTGCAGAAGCAGAGAAAAAGTGAACGGTGCTGTGTGCCCAGTTCTCTGAGATGAGTTTGAATATTTACTGATGTTCTTCTGCTGCTCATTCATGGATGATGGATATATAACTGATCTGATGGCTTTTCTTAATGTTTGTTTTAGATTTTCACATGCAGCTGTGATGCCTTCCAATTCTGACATTTGAGGAATCAGTAGTTTGCTCCACTGCTCAATAACAAAGGCAGGTTCCTGAATCAGTTTTTGGTGGACAAGCTCTTCCAGTATTTGTTCAATAGGGAGATCCATGAGTTCAAGGAGTTCTTCTTGATCCACAATAGCAAAACCTGAACGACAGCTTTCAAGGATCATCTGATCTGACTCTGTAATATAACTTAGAAAGCAGTCAACAAGAGGACTCTTAATACAGCCCAGAGCAGCTAGTTCCAATATTACTGGGGCACGTTTAATAGGCAGGTACTTCTCTTTTTGTCATCCAAAAGCAATGATCTGACCAATGCTTTCCAAAATCATGTTGCAAATAGGGCACCTTGAAGTCTTTCTCCAGAGTGCACTGCTCATAAGAGTCCTGCCAAAACTCAGAGAGCACATCCCTTAAAACTCCTCCTTCATCAACTGCATTTTCCAGGCTTCCATCAGGAAGCATCACTTGGACAGATATGTCATTTTGAGTAACACTTTCATTGCAAAAATGTGAAAGAATTTGGCCATGATGAAGAACAAGAATTTTTTTTCCCTTTTTTCACTCTGAACAGAGGGTTCTTGCAGAACATCAAGAATAGACGGCCCAGAAATACAGCGGGTAAAACAAGTATTGAACACGTCACCATTTTTCTCAGTAAATATATTACTAGAGGTGCTAATGACATGAAATTTTCACCAGATG